TCAAAGTTATTGTCAAGTGTCTACATAATTTCTGGATATCTTTGTTTCTACACTTTTTTATGTGAATTCATACTCTCTTTTTCGGCAAGTTCTTACTAAATACATTAATATGTTATATAACAACCACTTACATATTATACATATTTATGCGATGGAGAATACCGACATTACAACTAAATTAGTATGGCAGAGTGGCCGATGAAGTGAGGCTAAAAGCAAAGCGCAAAACTCAATTGCTTGTGAATAACTAAATGAAAAGTAGGCAATTGGATATTATTATGGTAATGTCATTATTACTCAGTATACTAAATATAAATAATCAGTTGTATGTGTGTAGTTGTAGTTGCGTAAACTACCAAAAGTGAACCAGTTTGAAACGGTTTGAAAAAATGTAGTTTAGTACCAGAATTCCCCGACTAAAATGATTATAGTCCGAAATACGCTAATCCAGTAAAAGATTAGCGTTGAACTGAACTATTTGCATACTAGTTTGGTTACAGATATTGTCAGGCATGTACATATCCATCTTGATGGTCTCACCTCAAATATCGCTATTGTAAGCGAAAGTGTAGCCGGGTCTTATGTATCTAATTCTCGACGTGCTCGAGAGCTGGAACTTTCTTATGGTACATAATGGTATATTTTGCAATTGGGCTTACACCTCCGTCCACATAAAGTCCAACTCACACAACAACTGGAACCAGACTTACTCCAAAATGGTTCGGTTTCCGCGACGCCTTGGACCCTTCGTCTAATTTTCGGGCTACATAATCGCTCAGAAGAGTAATTCGTATCCTCAGAGACGCCGTACCGTGCGCTATTGCTACTGGAACTCGAATGAATGAATCATCTTTTGAGGATGTGTCTTGAATCCGAACGACCATCATTCGATGAATGGGCCCAAATCGAAATAGCTACCGGTCCTAATTTCCACAAGAAATTTTCTTAAGCGATGAACCTTACTTTGGTTAAATGGGTACGTTAGTAAACAAAATTCTGGCATTTGGAGTGATGGCAATCCCAAAGACGTCGTTACATCCGAAAAAAATCACTGTATATTTGGAAACTAAAGGCAGATAGAACCTTTGATCCATATTCTTTTCTAAAACCAAGCCGGTCATAATGTTACAGTCACAAAGAAACAAAAAAACACTAAAGAGGCAAGGTTGTGTGACTTTTTCGTGCCTGATGTGGGGGGCGTTAAGTGAACGACTTTTGAGCTAACGAAACAATCAGTTTATTGAAGGAAACTTTTAGTGAGCTCAATATCTCCCGCCGTGGGTCGTGCGATTTAACACCGCTGGACTAGTTTTTGTGGGTTTATGCGAAGTCGTTTGCCTCCGCAGATAATCCCGCGTTATTGCTGAATGAAATTTATTCCAGATTATTCCGAATCGCCCTGCAATTTTCTGTCCGATAACTGCTACCTGAGATATCGATGATTAAAGTCGAAAGGATTTTTTTGCTTTAAAACAATAATAATATATTCTGGACAAATAGTGGAAAATTAAACTAATTAATATCAGAAATGAAACTTGAATGAATAGTCTATAAAACCTATATAATTGGTAAACTATAGAAAACTTTCTAAGCTTGCGCTATAAGAAAGAAAAATTTCCCTTCAGAGGTCGCTAAAAAAAATCGCAATTGGATTTTTTTACCTAAATTTTTTCCAGTCGTGTGGATTTTCCCCAACTTTTTTTCAACAAAATTTTTGAACAGAATTATTGGTTTTGCTGACTAATTAAACTAATCCGATTAGCCACCCTTTGAAACTAGGAGAAGACTAGTATATTTCTAAAAGAAATCAAAAGTAAAACAAGTAACCTTTTCTACGATTTGGTATAACGGTACTAGCATGTTTCGTAGCAAGCGTCTAGTTGTTTCCCAGTTCATTTGTATGTAGGATACCCATAAATACGAAAGGTCATAATGTCCTTAATATTATTGAGTATATACTTGAATAAATCAAGCGTGTAAAGGTCACGCTTATATTGCTCGCTGTGAATTGTATATATGTATGTATGTAATGTTGTATATGAATGATTTTATTAAAGCACAAGACATTCATTAATTCCATCCACTCAATGCAAATGAAATGAAATCAGGCTGAAATTTATAGCCATGAATTTGACGATGTCCTTGCAAATCCTGTTAACATTGATTTTATGTAAATTCCGTTAATCAAAGCGGTTTGAGTTAATAATTTTGAGTTGACATGTACATATGTATAGATGTATTTTACTACGAAATATGAGACTAGTCATTCGAATTGATTTGCTATGTAAATTTATTTATTGCATAAGGATTAATTTACAACCGAAATTGCAACAATTGTGATGCATCTAGCGAATATCTAATTATATGACATATTTACGTAACGTATGAGCGCATTTGAAATTTAAGAGGATAATGGCGAAATGTTTTCATAAAAGTATTTTAGAAAACTCAATTCGCTTTTGGACGCCGTCAGTGCATGCTTTCGCCTTCAAGACAACTCTTTCCATGATTCACTCTATAAAAATTTTGTTCTTTTTTAACAACCATTTTTCAAGGTAATCTACGAGAGAGATAAATCGTTCACTAATTGATATTTCTATCGAAGTTAAGACCTAATTTGAATTTGAAACGCTGGAAAGTGTGCTCTTTAATAGTACCAAGATCCAGACTTATCAATGGAAATTCCCCACAATTCCGTCTACCTAGTGGACAATATCAAATAAACAAGAGGCTACATCAAAAACCTTTGTAGTTGGAAGCTCTAGTGAGTTCAGATAATAGACCAAAGCATTTTTTTTTTTAGTATTTTAGATTTATTTGTAGCTCAGCTAAACTTTCCAAGTGTCATCGAATCATAGTTTTGAATGTAAAATATAAGGAATTCTAAGGAAAGCTCTCTATCCGAGACTTTTATTCAAACACAAAAAAATCAATAAAGGTCTTAAATTCTGCTTAACTTTAAGTTTTTTTTTTACGATCTACGTTCCTTCAGTATTTTACAAATATCTTCATCACCCATATTCTCAGCTTTCTTAAATACCCAATAACTTTAAACAAGTAAAAATCCAATTAATAGCTGAATAAGCAATTTATCTCAATTACGTCGGCAAGCAAGATTCTCTCCGTACGTAAGCACACATACTCAAGTGTGTTTGTGACCACAATTTGCACATATTTCAGAGCTTACTGTCAAAAAAGTGAGTCCAGTGCAAAATTTAGTGTGTGAAATGTAACGATTCCAACATATGTACGCCAAGAGTGTAACCAAACACACAACCCCAACACGTTATACAAAAAGAATTAGAGCAAAGTAATGCGGATGTGCGCCCAATGAACTAGTAATTTTTTGCCTACACCGTAATAAAGCTCTATTTGAAACCAGGATATCCAAAAAACGAACACGTACACTTAAATGCGCTTTTAAATATTCGAATCTAAAATTAAATGAATATGAGCTCAAAGGAACTTGTTGCTGCACAACTTGCATGCAATCACTTGTCTAGCCCTTGGCACGCTCAATGCAACCATCATCATACCAATCAGAGTTTGTCCACTGTAAATCATGTCCACTGTAAATCATGTCATTGGCATTCTATTAGTTGTTACAAAATATTTATTGTCCTTATTTTATCAGGGTTAATAATTTCACTGTCACATCCGTGACTTAATTTAATTTCTTCAATTTCGGTTTTGATTAAAACAGCGCAGAAGGATAATCATATTCAAAACAACGCTACGTACAATTAATATTACTCACATTTGCACATATGCACACGAGTTTGTCAACAATATATGTTTGTACTTATGTACAACTGTAATGCAAATATGAATATTATAAAAGAATATGTATGCATTTTGTGCACTTTATTTTACACTCATATGACATGAAGGACAAGCAAATAATTTTGACGCTTAACGTTCAGTGTCGAACCGAAGAAATTTCGTAGTTTTGGTGCCTTAAATAAATTTTAACAAATTTCCCGTGCCGCTCTGATCTCTAAAAAATTATCTGCTCTTTGGAAAAAATTGATATATGTGCATATGATTGTAATGAAGTCATGAGAGGTTAAAGTGGATCACCCTTTAGCAGTAGAAGACCGCTTACAAGTCCAAAAATTCAAAATTTCGGCTTCAAATATTAAAATATAAATTACTAGTACCTCTGGTACTAGCTATGACAATTGTTTTGAAGGTAATGAATGTCCTAACCCTAGTTATACACAGGAAAGCAGGACTCTCCTGCTCTAACAAACAACTTATAAAGTAATGCCCTTTTCGGCACTCTCCATATAAAACTCATGCATTATTTATCAGTTATAATAACATTCCACTTCTGATTTTGTGTCTTACCATTTTTAAGATAAAAAAACCTTTGTTGCAATTCTTTAGGGGCAATCACTTCATCACCACCATGGCTGTTATTATTATATTCAACCTGTAAAGAGTAAAAAACAGTTATATTTATTATTATACAAAATAAAAAGAGTCGTGTTTAAGCTAGCTCATTGCCTAAACTCTTAAATTTTCTTGCATTTAGTGAACGAAAACACGACGAAATATCTCATGTCAACAAGCCGCCTTTGAATTTCGAGAGACGGATGGTCCTTTGTGCAAATACCACGGACGATGGAAGGATGAGGTGAACGAGATGTAGAGCGAAAAAAAGGTAGTAGCTACGCTGGCCAGGCCATATCGTCCGAATGTATGAAAATGAAGACCTCCATGAATGACGCGATATTGTTAATTCGGCTTCGATTTCTTAAGCAGTGCCTACGTCAAGGATGAAATAGAAGAATATTTCTAGGGCATCTACGAGTATATAAGCAAAACGACCTTATACTCTATGATGTTTGGGAACTGTCGGCCTAGTTGTTAATTAGTTAAACCACCAGCGAAGACTGAGACCATAGTCAGCCAAGCATAAATAGGAAAAATCTCGCTTGTAGCCATTTAAAAAAATGTCAATTGTTCTTACCGAATATGATTTCGTTGACTACAATAGTATTTGTAAAATAATATGATAGAGAAATTTATTCGTTTCATCTCAGACCAAACTCGACAAACAAAAATTTTAAATTGTCTGTGAAAAATTGTGCAAATAAATAAATATCAATGGGACAGAGAGTTTTTCCCGAGTGGCAATGGCAGAAAGAAAATCGTGAATCGAAATTTTAATAAGCCCACATTTGACAAACAAAGATATAAAATCTCTGCAAAAAGTTATAACTGCGAGAAGCGGGGGCTCTCAATGCAATGGTATGCAAAAAATTCCCACACTTTGGTGTCATAAAAAAGTGTAAAGGCGCAAAATTATATTTGTGATTTACACACATAAATACAAATTGGAGCTCAGTTTTTGTGCCTTTTGGCTACAATCAACGAAAAATCATAAAAAGTGCAGGAGAAAAAGGGGGGGGGGGGAATGGGGTTACTCAAACACACATAAAAGTGCCAGGAATACACACGTGCCATGTGCAATCAACAAATGAGCTGGTGGTTGATATTCGCAGTATTGGTTGTGGGTGTGTGCCGAAATTAAAATTCTCATTGTTTGTCATTCGAGCAATAATACGGCGAAAGCAACCACAAGCGCGCCACATACTCATGCATTTATGAGCTTTAAATTGCCAGTAGGATGTGCATGTTATTGTACTTGTATGTACATATGTATGTAGGTGTGTTTGCTGCTGCCTGTTGCATGCGCCACGCAGCTACACACACACAACTTCATAACCAAATTATGACAACAGTTTTTTGTGGCAACTTTTTTTCGGGTGCCGCTCGAATACTGTTTTTGCATACGAATGAGTCAATAATATATTTTGAATGCAGTTTAAATGGTTAGAGGCCATCGAGGATACACAATTTGGCAGTTTATTAAATTTGAAAAATATCAAGTCGACATTTATATCTTATACTGATACATTTAACTAAATTGGACTACTTTTGATACAGTTTTCCCAAATAAGACTTAATTACGCACTTGAGATCCAGTTTGGTAATCATGGTTTTTAGTGGAATTTGGGGGGTAACGAAATAAATTATAAATAATTAAAAAAAAAATTAATTTGTTTAAGTAATAATTAACGAATAATTCGTTTATTTTAATTCTGCTCTCTGAGGAGATCCCGGAATCAAGCTTTTTTGATCCTACAAAGCCATTAGGGTGACTAATTAGTGACAGGACATAATTTGAGTATATCACAGTCATTTCTGGTCTTTTATGAGTAGTGGTTAGACTCTAATGGAACCATTCATTAGAAGATAGTTGAGAGAAATGGAATGGCATGAGTAATGAAGTCAGCATAGTATAGTGCTTCCTTCATGATGGGTCTGGTGAGCATCTCGTTAGGAACATGGTATATAAACGAAATCAAGAAGTTTACTTTCATTGTTCCCAAGGTGGTATTTTAACAGGATTTAAGCTTTTGTTGCTAGTCGCCAGTATTCAAATCTGTGCGGCGTATCTGTACGAACTTTGTAAGGCCAGATTTGGACTCCATATAAGAGTTCAATTCAAGACATAGGCTCTCCATATTACAAAAATAGTCATTCTTAGTATTTGTCCTCACAAATAAAAGTATTAGACTTTGGTAGTATTTTTTATGGCATGCCATTTTTGTAGCGAACGACACGAAGACCGCTTTCATTTTCTCAGATATACATATGCACATATTTATATATATTTAATTGCTGCTTTGCAATCGCTGAAGCGATTTTTTGCCGAGCTCCAATTCAAATTTGTGGTGGACATCTTGATGTTTTGCCAATCAATTCCGGGATCTATAGTCTATGAATTTTTCCGATTCCGATGAATTTTTATGAGGAGCTTTTTTTATTTCATGTGAGAAATACACTCGGAGGGCTTCACATTCCCTGGCGAGGGGCGAAAGCAATTAGAAAAATTAATTTTCTATAATTTTCTTTATGTTGGTCATACCAGGACTCGAACTCTTTCGAATGGCTGTTTTCACAGCTAACCATTTGGCTATTGCAACCGCTAGGGAGATAAACATATGTATGTACAATAATCGTATTTAAGCAATATAAATATGTATCTAAAACGAATATATCGTCCCCCGTCCCATCGCCTCTTTACATTTACATTCAATCACATCCAGCAGGATATTTAACTTAATTGAGCTGTACACAAGATTAGCATGCTAAAAAAAATGAGATAGGAAGTGTTTAATTCAATCAAATACTGTTAATACAGTCAATACATATACATGTAAGCATCTGCATTATCAACTTTTAATTGAAGACAAGTTTAATCTCCACAGTTTGTGTCTGCATGTCCACGTGCGTACATATACATACACGTATGTATGTATGTTAGTATATAAATATTTATTTGTACATTCATACAAACATGCATATGCGCTAAAAAGTCTCATTGATGATCCTGAAAGAGTCATCAAGGCTGCGCGCTGCTCGCTGCTCACTGCACACCATCAACTACATACATCGCCCAATACGTACGTATGTTACATAGATGAAACTGTTAATTGGTGCACAAAACTTTTAAATTAAAATAGTCACAAGCGTCACCCAGTGCTTCGTATTTATTTAGTTATTGCATAAGAAAAAAATATAAATCATTTAACACTCTATGAGAAAAGATAGTAGGAAGTACAAAAAAAAAACAGGGAAAGGATGATAACGTTTGCGCTTGAAGCTTTTATAATTAGTTTTTGTGGTCAAACGGTAAATGGCAACGAGGTTATGGTTTGTTTTATAGAGAATAAACTATTTAAAAATTATATTATCGCTTTGCAAGAAAAGTTTTCACACGCATAAAAAGCTTAAGTGACATACCAATGCATGTATGTACACGAATTATAACCTAAAATACAGCAGGAATATTATAAATAAAGTTTTTTTTTTAACAGACAAACACTTTTACCATTCTATTTCAACACTAAACTTACACACACTTACACATTTTAGTCTATAATCTTAAAAAGGATACCACACCCGCTAAATCTACGGCGAAAGCATAAGCTTGCTTCGCTGCTTGATCTAAATCTACACATGCCAATACATTATGCGACTCTCTATTATTCAGCTTTAAAAAAGTAACAAATTAAGCACCGCTCTTAAACACCGCACTGCTTTTTATCGACCACCTTTACGCTGCTGACACTTTAATCTACCAATATATATTTATGTATATGTACATTCAAGTTATGTATGTAAGTTTGAGAGCTTTTCTACATCACCAAGTGACCCCTTGTAATTTGTCCAAATCACATCAACGCCAATAATAAAATCTTTCACCCTTCGCCGCTCAGTTGTCCAGCATTTGTTTGTATAAATGTATATGTATGTATATGGACCGCAAAATTACCAACCGGTGTGTGTCCATCAATCACAATTTAGCTAAAGTGTGGACATATGTTGGGAATCAGCAATTTTTTGGGTGGAGTTGTAGGTTTACATTTTTGCAGATAAAGTTGTATTTGAACGTAACTTTAGTAGACATTTCACGCAGTGAATAAAAGCGGTTGGGGATATTACGAAACCTTTGTGTGTGATTTCAAGTTCCAAATAAATATATGTATGTATTTAAATATGTACAATATATGATGGAATGCTATATTGTAAGGAGTATCATGTTTATTATCACATTACTCGCACATATGTATATGTATGTGTGTATAGACTTTTTGTGTGATGCAAAGAAGAATGTGCTTTAATAATTTTGCCATTTTTGATGAGAATACTTAAAACATTAAATTAAATAAATTGATAAATTGAAATCAAAATTACATACTCATACCTTACTAACGTTCGCGTTGCATCTTTTCCGGAAACTTCGTTATTACGAGCTCCCTTCTGCGTTAATCTTTATACTTGGAAGTGTTAAGTAGCCCAATTTATTAAAATGGAAAGCCAATCACGGATTTTATATTTATTTTTCATTTTTTAAAGAAATCACTTTATAAACTTAAGTAATTTGTTTCCTTGCCCGCAACTAGCGGAAATAAATTTCGTAAAACGGAGCTGTCAAATTGACAAGGAAGTGAGGGAACAGGAAATACAAGAAAGCCGAAGGACAGAACGTGCTGCACACAAAACTTAAATTACTGAAAAAAATTACGCTTTCAATTTAAAATGTTATGTATTGTAAATGTAATACTAAGAATATTTAACTTGACGTTGAACAGAACACCAGAAACAACTTTAATTTCTCCCAACTTTTTAAATCAACTTGCCTTTATCTATGTATTTTGCAAAAGCAATTTTTTAACCTTATAATAAATATATTTTGCTGTCTTAAACCTTTATTTTGCGCGCAAACTAATTAACTTATTTAATTATTTTTTGAATATCACCTCCAATTACATGCCAACTAAAATCCCTCAATAAAATCCACCATTTTGTTTCAACTGGGCAGCACTGCTTAGCGAAAAGGGTGTGTGTAAGTGTGCGTGTATGAGTGCGCACACGCATTCTCTACAAAAGCAATAGAGCGATAAAGAAATGCACGAAAGTGAATTAAGAAATAAAAAGTAGCAACTAAAAGTTACAGCAGCATTTATTTTACACAATTTTCTATGTGAAACTAAATTAAAATTAATAAAATATCAACGAATTTTATTGTAAAAAAATCAGTTAAGTGATTGAAATAAATAAAACGCAAACGTATTAGTACAAAAGCAAAGGTTGGAAAAGTGAAAGGAACGAGCACCAGTAGAGCAATAGCAGTACGCAAAAAAGTGGATTTGGAAAACAACAAAAGATTGTGCAGCGGCGGAGCTGAGTGTGTAGTGCAGTAAGGTAATTGGAAAAAAGTGCATGACAAAAGAAATATGCATATGTCTTAAATATATGTAACAAGTTAATAATTGAAACCGACCATTGATGAACCACTACTGTCCATTTTGCTTACAAAGTTTAATGGTAAAATTGTAAATAACGCCAATGCAGTGCAAGAAAGAATGCTGGCAACAAAAACTTAAAAAAAAATTAGCTACTCATTGAGAGCTGCAACATGAAAAAATTACGTTTGTGCCACCGAAAGCTGGAATACTGATACTGGTGCCAAACTGTCGCTACCACAATCCACCCTGCCCGCCAAGCGGTTTCTTACTTAATTGTTTTTGTTGTGTGGAAAACTAAACGCACCATAGGTACCCACTAGCCAAGCATGTTGTGATAGGCGCAGTGTGATTATGATGCTGATAATAAACCTAATTGCGTTCATTACGAAAATAGAAAATTTTGGCCGAAAGTAATTTGGATCCCTCTGCCTATCCGCCCGTTTACTACCGCTGACGTCGCGGGCAGAAATAGCACAATATTGCTGCCGCTAAAAACGCTGGCAATTGCTGGCGCTTTTGCGTCCAGAGCGATGGGCTTAACTTGTCCCCTTGTGTATGTACATACATATATAAGTTCTATTTCGGTTGATGTGCCATGCCGTGCCGCTTTTTTCTTTTTGATTTTGCGAATCATGTCGCCGGCGGATGATGGCATTTTGCTTTGTAGCCGTGCAGCTAAAGCAGATGCCCATTATATTTTGACTTTTTATTGCTCCATTTGATTTGTTGTACATTTTGTGGTATTTTTGTGTGTTTGATTACTTCTCATTTGTTATTTGTTGCGTAGGTGCGTTTTCATTTCTTTTATCGTTTAGCTTTTGATAGCTGTTTTTTTGTTTTCATTGCATATTATTTATTTTTATATTGCTGAGGGCGAGCTCATAAGGCAACATTGCTTTTAATTCTTCACTTAATTCTTTTGACGGATCCTTTTTGAAGATACCTTCTGAAAGTAGTAATGGTGTAAATATTCAGAAAATATTCATAACTGACACACCTTTGGTATCGCCCAAATGGTTTTCCCTTGGGCAGAATGCACTGTATCTAGATGTGGCGGAAAATTGCAGCATAAGCAAGTTACCAAAAAAAATAATAATAATAATAAAGAATAAAATAAATTTTTGTTACTATGCCAAACGCAATCACACTTATAAATAAAATATTATATATACATACATACATACATTATTATATACGGCACTGCCACAAGAGCAGCGCCACCAGCCACACTTACATACTCGTATTCCGACATTCCATGAAAGGAAAATAAAAGCAAATAAATGTGCTCAAGTGGCAAATTGTATTTAATTAAATTCACCATACTTCTCAACGCCCGTAGCTACTTGCTTCTTGCTACTTGCTTGTCATTGTCTCAGTATCGTAACTGAAGTTTAATTTATTTGATTACACAATTTCTAGTGACCGCGCGGGCGTTGCAATCATATTTACTTTATTCTATACATAAAAATTCAACATAATTCCGTTATATATTTCTCTTTTTGTTGTTGTACAGATGGCGACTGGAAGGCCCATTAAATGTGTCGTCGTTGGCGATGGCACCGTCGGCAAGACATGCATGTTAATCTCATATACAACAGACAGTTTTCCGGGTGAATATGTGCCTACAGTGTAAGTGCATCGAAGTTAAATAAAATTTTTATTAAAAATTAGAAAAAAACTTCAAATATTGTACTCTACACAGATTCGACAACTACTCTGCGCCAATGACTGTGGACACAATACAAGTATCGCTTGGTTTGTGGGATACAGCGGGTCAGGAAGATTACGATCGCCTGCGTCCACTATCATATCCACAAACCGATGTGTTTCTCATATGTTTCAGCGTGGCCAGTCCATCCTCATTCGAAAATGTCACATCGAAATGGTATCCTGAAATCAAGCATCACTGCCCCGATGCACCGATTATATTAGTCGGTGGGTAAAAATCAAGTGAAATTTCTTTAAACAGATATTTATTTTTTTATTTTTATTCAGGCACCAAGATAGATTTACGCGATGATCGCGAAACACTCAGCCTGCTGGCCGAACAAGGTTTGGCACCGTTAAAACGAGAGCAGGGACAAAAATTGGCGAATAAAATACGCGCCGTTAAATATATGGAATGCTCGGCACTAACGCAACGTGGGCTCAAACAGGTGGGTGGTGGTGTTAATAAAATAAGAGTAATGAATTTAATATATAAAAAATTACAATTTTTTTTTATTACATTTAGGTCTTCGAAGAAGCAGTGAGAGCTGTGCTCAGGCCAGAGCCACAAAAACGGCGTCAACGAAAGTGTATAGTTATGTAAGATATATCTCATTTATATAGTAAAACAAATGAAGCATCAAAAAAATCAGAAGCAGCCGAAAATAAAACCACTCACTTACCTTATATGGAAACACACAAACACACACGAGAACACAATCATGGCATCAGCTTAGCTCAGCTTAACTCTTTAAGAAATGCGACTCGAATATTTATAAACAAATTAAAATAAGTGAAAAGTCGACAAATATCATCAGCACATTTTTATGATGCGACAAATTTACAAAATGTCTTGTGGAATGTGTGTTCTTCTTTTGATAACTTCTTAATTTGACAGCGACTACTACAAAATTATAATTTTTTAGCTAACTTCCAAAACATTATAACCAGAGATTCCAAGCGACAATATACACATACATACAAGTATATTTGCCATTGCCAGTTTACGCTATTGGCAGCTTTTTTAAGTAGACAAAATTTGTTTCACATAAAAATTGTTAAAAAAAAAAAATTAATTTTCTATCCTTTAGTAAACGTTTAGCCGCTAAATTACTAAATGCAGCTATTAATTCGGTTGGAAATCATATTGTATGCTTAAAAGCTTTGACCGTATTAAGTTTATTTGTAGGCAGCTCGCACTCAAAATATTATAGCTCTTGACTTTTTGTTGAAAAAAAATGAAAAACTGCAACTGGACAAAAGGAAATAGCTTATCTAGTCAATTGATTAAAGAAAAAGAAATAAAAACGAAAATTTAAATGGAAAATGTGGAAGCTAAAGCTAACGCCTAAGTATTTAATGATGTTGTATAAGAAAATGAAAAACATATTGAACAGATAAATAGATGGTTGACCGCATTGACGGATAACGAATTGAGCTTAGACAAAAAAACAAAACAAAACAAAACAAATAAAAAAAAACCGTCACTAAGTGTTGTGACACACCAAATTTATAAACTAGCACCCAATATTAGTTAAAAATCTAATTTCTGTTTTATGCTTACTTATTTACGTATTTATATAATATGCACAAAAGTACTATTTATTAGAAATTATTAAGAAATAATAGTGCTGTTTAAAATAAAATAAAAAAATATTTAGCCAGAGAGCACCCACTCGATGTCTACAGACTATACAGTTATGCATTTTGTATTATTAATAAAATTAGTTTATTTTTCTAATTTTTTTATAACTAAATAATATAATTCACAACTAAACTTTTATAAGTTTTGTATTTTTTTTTTTTAATTTCTTTAATATTAACTAATTTTTAATTTGTCATTTAATCTATTTATTATTCATTCAAACGTATTATGTTTTATATATATGTAATTATTGCGAAACAGTTACTATCTAGAATGTGAAGAAATAATGTAAAATATCTAATAATAAATTCGTTACTCGAATTTAATAATATAAAAACACAAAACAGTTACATAAACCAGTAAAAATAAAACATGTAATGTCTGCCCTTTTATCACACTCACACACATACACTCATTCACTACTCTGTAACATTTTTTTAATATTTTACATCTTGACAACAAACTTTTGAAATTGTAACCTCAAAGATTTTGATGAAAAAAAATGTATTTAAATGTTATTTGTAATTTTGTATGAGTAATAAAATGAAAAAAAGTATAATTAAATAAAGAAATACATATTTACTTTATATAATAATGTAATAATAGAAAAAAATCAAAAAATTATGCAAGTAACGGCAGTGAAGTAGAATTAATAATAATAATAATAATATATATATAATAAAACAAAACGGATGAGAAGAGTTACTGTGAAACGAAGCGAATATATATCTGCAAATGAATAAAGTAAAAAATGCTAAAAAAAAATTGTTCACTGATTTTTAATAATATATTAATGGCATATTTTTAAAAACATTGCCCTTTGGTTTGATTATACTTTACTTTAAAATGTATTATTTTTAGTTATAAAATGTTATATGTAAGTACATATGTATACTCACCTACATTACCAACATTTTTGAAATCATAAGTCAACTACTGAATGTTTTCATTCTTCATTTACTAGCTTTCTTTATTTCGACATACATACATGATTGCAAATCAACAATATTTGAATTTTATGCAAATTTAGTGTATTATGTTTTTGATAATTTTTTAAAAATTTTTTTTTTTTTTTTTTTTTTTGTAGTTTTCCAAAATTTGTACACACTTCGCTTTCATATTGTTGAAGTCTCCTTTGCGGCTGCGCAAATGGTGTTCACAAAAAACGATTACTGTACAGTACAATTTGTATATATATGTATATACATACATATATATGTATGTACGAGTATGTATAAATGTAGGATTTGAATGTATTTTTGATGCTATTTAAAAGCCTCTTATAAAACGATTGACAAACTTTGGAACTCGAAACGGTGCTATCTGCATATCTTTACTACTAGTTTAATTACAAACAATATTTTGAGTTTAAGTATTGATTTGATTTGTTTTGTATTTTTTTTCAACTACCTAGTATAGACGGAAGGGTTTTGGATGTACCGCTTGTCCTTGTTTCTTCTTTGGTCCAGCACTTTTGGGACGTTTCTGTTCCGCATTGAGCGATGGCATTGAAACTGAGAGCACTAAACACTCAGCGGGCAGCGACATTGATGAGGTTATTGTAGTAGCACGTTGTACCTTTTGCACCTTCCAGTGCTGTATGTGAAGTTTGGATTTAGAAGAAAGTTGGAGAGAGAAGTGGAAAATGTAATTATTATAAAAAATTTATCATATAATTTTAAGGTATTTATAGTATGAGAAAAGAAGAATTCTTTCTGCGCGTTTTGGTTCAATTTAATAATTAGTTTTTATTTACTCCATATAATTAATTTTTTTATTTAATTTTTTTCATATTTTTTTTATTTAATTTTTTCAATTTTATTTTTGTTTATTTGATTTTATGTTATTTTTACTTAGTTTATTTGATTTCTTCTATTTTATTTTAATATATTAAATTTATTTATATACTTTTATTTTATTTTATTAGTTTTTTTATTTTGATTTTCACTTTTTTATCATATTACCTATATTTTTATGTTATTTTATTCTAGTTTATTTGATATTTTTTTTTTTTTTTTTTTTTTTATTTTTTTTTTTTTTTTTTTTTTTTTTTTTGTTTAATATATTTATATTATTTTTATGTTTTAGATTATTTTATTTTATTTTGTTCTCTTTCCTTTTATTACTTTTTTATTTTGATTTTTATTTTTTAATAATATTACCTATATTTTTAAAATACTTTAGCTTATTTCAGTTTGATTTTTTTTATTATATATACATTTTTTTATTTCAACTCTATTTTATTAAATTTAATTTTCTTTGTTTAACGTTATTTTATTTATAGTTCTTTAATTTTAGTTTTAATTATTTCATATTATATTATTATATTTTATGCTTTTTTAAACATTATCTTAATTTTTTTTTAATTTTTCTTCAATCTTATAATATTTTATTTTGTTTTAATTTTATTTTTTTTTTTAATTTTTGTTTTGTTGTTTTTATTTTATTCTTTTACCATATTTTAATTTTTAAATTCTTTTCAGTTTATATAATTTTATTTGATTTCATTATATTTTATTTTTTATATATTTTGTTTAAATTAATTTTCATTTTTTATTTTAGTTTTGTTTGTTTTATTTCACTTTAATATATTTAATTTTTTTTAAATTTATTTCACTTTTATTTCTTTAAGCTTGTTTATATTATTTTACGTTTTTTATATCGCCTTTATTATATTTTAAATTTAATTATTTCATGTCATTATATTTTGTTTAAATATATTTTATATCGTTTTAATTTAATTTCATTTTTGTATATATTTTTTATGTTTTTATATATTTTACTCCATTCATGTATTAAAATTGAAAAAAAAATGTTTTAATTTTATTTAATTTAATTATTTTATTTTAATTCTATTCGTTTTATTCTATTTTCATTTTATATATTTTATTTTTTTGTACTTTATAGTAATTCAATTCATTTAATTTATTCTCTAATTTTAATTATTTTTTATTTAATTTTAGTCTTTTTAATTTCGCTAGCGAAGGACAATACTTTGAATAATATATGCTCAGCACTTTTTCGCAATAAAGTTTTTAATTTTGGAAAAAAACGGCGAAAGCAAAGTTGTACACCTGATATTTTACTTCGTTTTAGATTATTTTTTATAGTTTTTTTTTCAGTTAATATTAATTGTTTCATTTAATTTTAATTTTATTTTTTCATAAGTTTAATTTTACTTCTTTTTAAATTATTTAAATAATTAATTTCTTTTATTATTTTAGTTCATTGTGTTTTATTTTAATAAATTTTATATTGCTTCATTCTATTTTATTTTATTTCAATTCAAATTATTTATTATATATTATTTTGTTACTTTTTTTCAATTTTCTTTTTGTTTAATTTTTTATTTTTATTAAATTTAATTTTGTAGTATATTTAAATTTTTCTTATAATTTTTATTCAATTTCATTTTCATTTATTTCGATATTTTATATTTATTTTGTTCTATTTCATTTAATTATTTTATTAATTATTATTATTATTATTATTTGTTTTTTTTTTTTCGTTTTATTCCACCTTATTTATTTTGAATTTTATTTTTTTGTATTTAATTTTAATTCATTTTTTTTTGGTTATTTATATTTATTTATTATTTTTTATATTATTTATTTTTTCATTTTCCTTTGGTTTAACCATATTTTATTTTGTTTTAAATTTCTACTCAAATTTAATTAAGAGGAGTAAATATATATTTCAATATACGTATTTAAAATAAATAGTATTGATTACAAAAAACAAACTTACTATCTGAGCGTGTTGCAGCAAATTGTTTAACCAATGCGTTTCAAGTTGGCCGAATTATCAATTGCCTTATGTTGCATATACATGCATATAAAATGTTGCCGGTGCAGGTTTTTTTTTTATTGTTTCTTTAATAGCACTAATGGTGTTTAAGTATAAATTATAGAAAATATTTTAGCATAATTATGATACAAATGCTACTAATGTTGCGTTAATTCCTTTGAGTTTGTGTGCTTACGTAAGCTCATTGGTGGCTAGAAGTAGCTACATACGAGTATATGTACTTGAACAAAAATTATTATTTTTGCAAAAAATCAGCATTTCGCTAATAATTACATGTACATAAATATATATATCAGTATATGTAATTTAAAAATACTCATATTTTCTAATTCAAAAGCAATAAGTGCATTTTTTCCAAATTTCAATTTATTCAGAATTTTTTTTTTAAGTTCAGCTTACATTTTTTTGTCTTAATGTGAATTATGTGTTGAATTTTTTTTTTATTTTTTTATTAATATATAATTACTTATATTTAATTATTATTTACTATGCAGCTTTTGTTCTGAAAATCCAATAATCGCCCAATACAAATTAAGTGTAAATCTGTTTTCATGTTGCGAAGGACCAAGGCGCATGTGTGAGACGTGTGAGAAATGATAATTTCATTAATATACATTCTAATGGCAAAATTATTTTTTTAAATAATATTCATACACTTTGCCCTATTTTTTATATTCAATGATCTTTGTGTTTGAAAAATTAGTGGGATTTCTTAAATTGAATTGCCTTTATTCTCATACTTTTCTACAAAAAAAAAAAAATAAATAAATAAATAAAAATAAAGACTGCGTTAAATATGACTTATGACTGTGTCTAAAAAAAGTTTAATTTCGGCGAAAGTCAGAAATTAATATTCACATTTTTTTATTTAGTTAATAATAATTTTTTCCTTAGTATTTGTAGAGCAAGTAAAGTATAAATATCTGGAATCTTATATTATATGAAAAGGCAGAATCGAATATGTATATATATAGCTACTAATGAAAATAATAGTCCTCCAGTGCTACTGTTTACAGTAAATTTTCAAATTATTCAAAATTAACATTTTTTTACGCTTTGGAGCTTTGTGACCCCTGGAGCGATTTTCAGCCGAGCACACACGAAGCCTATCGAAAAGGTTAGGGCGCAAGGTTAACCGACCAAGGTTAAGCCAACCACAACGCTGGCGCCAAGATAAAGGCCTTCATGAAAACTAAGTGGTCTCTGCCGAGAATTCGAGGAATGGTAGAGCATTTGACAAATATGAAAAAAGTGATATTAACTACACTGGCCTACACTGGTTTTGTGACACGAATTTTTTGATGTTTTTGGTCTATGTCACTGTACCCCCAATTAAAATGGACTAACTACCCATTCTGCATAACGCAGACCTGCCTGTGCTGAAGCCTCCAAATCGATTTGAAAGGCCCAGAATTTAGTCCCAGAATTTGTCCTAAGTCAGCATGATACAGTCTCTTAAGGTATTGTAGGACTCGAAACTTACCGTGGTAAAAATTCAGGATTGAATATTTTTGGGTCCACGAATATAGAAAAAATGAGAAATATTTACTATCAGAGCATTTCCGGAATGAAAAAGCGTAATCGAAGGAACTGGAGTCTAGGTATGCTTCCCGATTATTTTTCAAGACCCAAAAGGAACCTACCAAAACCCAAATACACAGAAAAATATAAAGTATTTATTGCAAGTTAAGGAGGAAGCTGGTCCGGAGTGAAAAAGATGGACATATTTTAGGAATCTATTTTGACTCAACAAAGGAATCTATCGAAAATCTGTGAAATGAAAAAAATGTTGATTAAAAAAAACTATATCTCTGAAGAACGGTATTTGGAATGTACTATCAAAATTTCGTAAGAATCGGTGAAAATTTGTACGAGTTGTCTTCGATCAGATTAAAAAGTTTAAAGTTGTAGGGCGCTCGGGGCCAGGCATACATTTTTTGGAAATTAATATTAATAAAAATGTAAGTCATGAACAACGCATTTTACAACCAGCAATGCCAGGTGTACGGTACTTGCTGTAAAAAAGGTCACGAGCTTTCCGTTTTCCATTATCGTTCATTCCTAAAATTATCCAACATGGACAATTTAAACGTTTAAAAGCTTTAGCATGTCTAACATTATAACCACAGAGACTGTAGGTGGCGCTAAGGAGATATTTGAGCCCCACAGAACATTAATAGGAGCCTTTCGCAGTGTGGCTGTAAGGTGGAGCACATGTGAGATAGGCAGCTTATCTAACTGGTTTTCCATGACGTCTTTTACTGTTACAAAGGCTTTTTCGTTAAAACGAGATATTGATCTATGAACCAACATACAAACAAACAAAGAAATTTTGTATCAGCAAACGTAAAAGTAGAATGCAAATTACACTTACATCCTCTGTGGCGGATTTTTCTTACCTCTTACAATTTTGCGCTTTATTTTATGGATTATTTCCCAAAATACTTCTATCATTACATTCGGCTGCCACTACCGAAGTCATTTTATTTTTAATAATCACAAATGTTTTAATACCAGCACAAAAATGAAATAATTAAATAGAATTGGTGGATTTTCTGCACATGTGTGATGAAAGCTGATTCGAATACCGGTTTTGCTTATCTTCGAAAAACATAAAATCAAGTCGGTTTCATAATATCATTTCAAACAGATATTGATTTTCAATTCCAATAAATAAGCAATTCTGTGTCGGTTTCTGTGAAAACCCCGAATAACTTTTTTTCTCAGGAATACCGAAACAAGAGCAAATGATCATACATTCTCTTCTCTTAACAAAAAAAAAATGAATAGTAGCAAAACTCAAACCTCCTAAAAAAAATAAAAATAAAATATCTTAATAAAATACATATGTATACCAAATATATAGGTATGTATATATGCTCATTTATTTAAGTGAAAAAAAAACGTGAGTTTTGTGAAAAAATGTTTTATTATTTGCAAATTGTTTGCTACATTTCAAATGCACATCGAATTTTTACGGTAAATTTACTTGTTTTTATTTTTATTTTTCATTTATTTTTTGCTGCCCAAATACAATACAATAAATTTGAAATATATTTTGTGGTTTGGTGATTAATACAATTTCAACAATTACAGTGTTGCTCATATGTAGGTATGTTGTATGCTTGTAAATTTTGAATTTTTTTTTTCTCAAATTTGTATTTTTTTATATGTATATATATTTTTTTTAATAAATATTCAATCATATGCAATTAATACTAATAATAATGTTTTGTTTTTTTTTATGGAAAGTTTTTGTTTTTTTATGTTTTATGATTTTTTTGACTCTCATTATTTTGTAAATATGTATGTATGTATGTAATGTTTATTATATTTTCAATTGTTGATTTTTTGTTTATGTATTTTGTTTGTTTTGTTTTTCTTTCGTGCTTAATTAATTAATTTAACTCTGCTGATTTAAATTTTCATCGGCACCAGTTGTTGAAGTCGTCATGGATGGTTGTGGACTCTGCGTTTAAGAAGAAATGATTCAAATAAAAACAATATCAAATCATAAACTATTACCGCAAGTTTTAAACATTTAAAGTTGTTACTATGGAAAAAAATCTGCTATTATCCAAACAAGAAAATATATGTACATATTCAATGCATAGCAAAGTTATGGAGATGGGCAAAGAGTATGAAAAAAAATTAATTTCAAAAAAATAAAAATAAAAATAAAAAAATATTTAAATAATTAAAATGAAATGAAATAAAAATTTAATTAAAAAAATTAAAATTAAAAATTCAATTTGAATAAAAAATATTACTTTATGCGTAATCAATTAGAAGCAGAGGTTTGTTTGTATAATGGAATGCTTTATGTATAAATATTTTACATATAATTATTAAACAAAAAAAATTAAATTAAATTTTTAGTACCTACTCAGATGATCTGTATGTTACTATACACAGTTTTATGTATTTAAAAAGGGTGTTTACATGAAAACACACATGTCTATTTATGCATGTTTTCTTTCTTTTTTTTTAAAGCAAATGAGGGTCCATGGATCGCAGGTACAAAATGCAGTTATTTATGAGAGATATATGTATATGTATGTATGTTTATTTAATTTTTTTCATTTAGTGTGTATTTGAAATTATTTCACTGCCAAAAATTGGTTATTTAGTAGTTTATTTTTGTGTAGGCATTTTTCAAAATTAGTCATTTGTAGTAAAAAATAATTTTTTTTTTTCAAATTTAATATACAATTCGCTGAGAAAAGGAAATATTCAGGTTGTTTTTTTTATCAAACTTACGCATAGCGATGCATGTTGGTTGAGTATAATCTTTATTTTTTTTTTTTTTTTTGTATTACTTTCGATAGCAATTATACTTTGATCTATTTATGTAGGTATGTAGTTTCGCATGACAGTTAGGGACTATCAGTTCAATGTTTTTATTTTTTACTCAGTAAAAGGTATATAAATATTCCTATAAATATAAATAGTTAACTTATTCTTCTGTTATACACATTATAAATATTATTATTTTAATAAAATTATGTTACTATTATTATTATTGAATTTCTTAAGCTACCTAAGGACGTTAGTTTTCGACCACTTTTTTTTTTTCTTTTTTTTTTTTTTGACCACGAAACAGCAGTTTAGACTTACAAGCACTCATTGATATATTTACTATTTCGGAAAATAAAATTGAATTGAGTCCCAAAGACTACAGACTATTTTCACTTTCTGCAGTCAAACAGGATATTTGGTTTCAGTATGAGATTAACAGGAGAGCGTTTGCCAAAACGGTATTCTTCTAATAATATTAGCCATTTTATATTATATATTATATATTATATATAGAGAGATGGAGAAGAGAGAAGCCCACCAAAGTAATAGCATACGAGTGCATAAGAAAAAATACGTTTGAAAAGTTATTGGTTTTGGCATCAAAAGTTCTACATTTGTATCAAGTTAAACTAACGATTTTGCATCAAAAAAGAATAATTATAAATCTTCTTACATAGATTTTTTATTTGGATTTCAGAGCTCGGCAGCTCTTGATTTGATCTTACTTCTTTCAAAACGACAACGGCGAGACAGTCACTGACAATTCTGTGCGCTATGCTCGATTGATTGATTGAGCGACTTTTTTTGGCTGGCAATTTAAGAGCAGCATTTGGACAATGTGGGGCTTCAACAAGAAGGTGCCACTTGCCAGACAACAAGCGCGAATATGGCTTTATTGTGAGAGAAATTTCGCAGCCGTGTTATCTTTCGTCTTGGTGATGCTAATGGGTCACCGATGTCATGCGATTTGACATTTGGCTAAGCGAAGCGTTAAGCATTAATAGGCATACACATCTAACTCTTGAGCACTTGAAAACCAGATGCGTCAAGTTTTCACCGATGCCGCTCTATATCTAACAAAAAGTGGTAAAAAATTACCTCAAACGGATCGAGATTTATAAAAATTTTCTAGGCGGTCATTTGAATGATGTAGTGTTTCACATATAAATGTCAAGATTCAAACTTTATAATAAAAATAATAAAAAAGAATATGCATGAAAAAAATAATTTTGAATACGTTTAATTTAAGTTTATTTTCGAGACCGCGAAATGGTTAATCCAGTACAATTGGCGCTTTCTAACTACTGAAGCGAGAGTGAGTGAGCCGAACTTCACCTCCAACTCATGGTGAACTTCCAACACATAAAGGTACCTACAGTTTATGCCAAGCCGCCTTTGTACGGCCGGTGGATTTTTTTTTATGATAAGCTTTATTTCATGTCCAAAATACACTCGGAAAGAAGGCTTGACATTCCCTGTCGAGTGGCTATTAGAAAAATTAATATTTTAAAATCTTGTACCATTGGTCAAACTACGACTTCATTCAATCCGAATGTCAGGACGCCATGCTAACCACTCGGCTGCTGCCGCCGCGTTATATACTCGGATAGTAATATGCATCAAGGCAATAAGAGTAAAGTGTGCTTTGCGCAAATAACACTTATTTGTTTAAAAAAATGCTGCATATTCACACATACAATGTGGGGATAAATTTATATTTGTAAAAATAAAAAATTAAAAAAGTTGATAAAGAGGAACCCTTATTCGAGCGCTGTTTACTGGTCAAAATGGTCGCAATGAAAATTTTTTATTTAGTCTCCAAAATCTTTTATAAACAAGATCAATCAAATTGTTGAATTTTAACATCACCCTAATACTAAATTAATTATAAGGTATACCTACAGCAATTACAGTCTAAGAAAGTTAATTAACCTGAAATGTAGACGCAGCTGCTGTGAGCTAATATCAACATACTCAAGAAGGATAACGATAGCTGGCGTTTTAGGTTGCTACTTTAACAAGTGTTTCAAACATTCATATATATAATATGTATGTATGTATGTATGTATATTTTTTTCTTTAAATTATTAAACGACATATTTTACTAGCCTACAAGTGTTTATACTATGTAAAAATAAAATACTGTAAGTTTTAAAATTTTTCTTATACCTACATACATGTGTATGTATGCATATACATAAGTGTATAATTAAGTGTAAATGTGTAGGCAAAAAATGTATGTATGTATGTGCATTTTGTTGCATTTGCATGTAGGATTGCATAGTGTTTGTTGGTATGTGAGTTGCTGTTCTTATATATATATATATATATATATATATATATATATATATTTAGTTTGTTTATTAAACAAACAAATTAAATATTGTCTAAATTTAATTTAATAAATTCTTTTTTTGGCATAAATAATTATTTTGCTTTCCTCTTCTAATTACTATTTCTTTTTTTTTTTTTTTGTACAATTTCATTTTGCCTTTGTGTTTTTTGCCCGTTTCCGTTTTGTGAGTTTATATGTATGTACATATATATGCGCGTGTTGTGTGTGTGTGTTTTGAGCTAGAAACTTAATGAGCTTACTTAGGAGTGGACCCAAGTTTTAAGTTAATGTGCTTTATGGACTTAAGCTTTTGAGCTTTTTTCAGTTGAAATTTGAAATTTAATTGTTTTAATTATAATTTAATTTTTTTTCTACTTTTTTTTTGTTTCCATTTCTTTATTGTTACTGCGCTAGTGAGCTAAGCGTTTTTGTGATTATTTTGTTGTTTTTTGTTTTTTGCTTTTTTAAGGTACAAAATCGTATTTTGCTAATTGCGCAAAATTAGGTGCCATATATTTTCTTTATTAAACTATTTGAGTCTAATTGTTTAATTCAATTTTTTTTCTTCAATTTTTAATTTTAAATTTTTGCTGTTGTTGTCTTTCTTAAATTGTTTAATTTGAATTTACTTTGTAAATAAATATGTAGGTATGTATACTAGTTTTCACGTTTTCACGTTTATAGTTTTTTTTTTTTTCTGTTTTTTGTTTTTCTCATTTTGTTAGCTGTTGTTGTAGTTTATTTGGCAAAGCACTAGCTAGGTAATAATTTATACTGCAGTTAAACGAGAGTAAATTCATTTAAAGAGCGATTGAAATATTTCATTACACACACAGTCTGAATTGCAAAGGCCAAATTCTAGGTGGATGGTGGCTATAAGGCGTCCCTGCGGGAACTATAAATAAAAGAGTAAAGAGAGAAAAAAGAATAGAAGAACGGGATTGTTGTTGTTGTTCATTGTTTTAAATTTTTAATTTTTTTTTTAATTTTTTGACTACATAAATATGTACGTAAGTGATAGTTAACGAATTGGCATTTCATTGAAACGCAATTAAATTGTAGTTAAAAGGTTTATATTAAGTAAAATTTGGAATTTTTGGCTTCTATGTTTAAAAAAAAAATTAATTAATTAATTAAAAGTTTAAATCATAAAATGCTCAAAATAAGGATAATCAAACTAATGGTGATAAGGATATGGTCATTAAGGGATTTTTATAATTTTTTTATTTTATTTTATTTTCTTTTTTTTTCGTATGCAGAAAAAATATTTGCTTGTAAAATTATAAATGAAATATTTTCACCGTAAGAGAAATTTGATTATTGAGCCACTGCTATAGATTACGCCAGTTTACTCAATTATATTTCATGAAAATATTCGGTCTAGTGAAAAGTATTCCATTATTTTTGCATCAAATTGAAGAATTTTTTTGAGTTATCCGATTTGTGTAAAAAATTGGTAGCATCGATTTTTGCAGGTTACTCTTGAAGCCGATTTTTCACCAGTCAAATTATTTGCCATAAGCAAAAATAGATGGTGGTCACTTGGTGCAAGGTACGGACTGTAAGGTGTGGCGTGCATAAGAACCTCGCAACCAAGCTCACGATACCAGAGAACTTAGAGTAAGTTCGCTGCGGTACTTCGGGCGTGTTACTAACGAAGTGTGTGGCCTTGCATTGTGTTGATGTCAGGAGAAACTCCCTTCTTTAGTAATGGATTGCAAAGCGAAAGCGCATAGTACAACATGGTGCTGAATAAGGCCAGAGATGAGTCTCTTTTAGTATTTTTCATAAGTAATAATTTACACAAATTCAATGTGGAATACTCGGCCACGTAAAGAAGAGACACTTGACATAACAACAATTAAAGAAGAATTGAATATTTATAATAAACAAATAATTTTTACTATGAGTAATGCCGAGATGTGTGAGAAGCTGATCGGCAAGATTAATACTCTAAAATACTAAGAAAAGATATGGCAACTTACGGAAGGATTCAAGTACGAAGCAAGCTATTGCATGAGAGATGAGATCAAGTGACTGAACTTTTGGGTGGAATACGTACTTCCGGACCTATTGAATGGTATTACGAATAGAACGCTAGGAGAAGGCGTGCCCGATACCCCAACCGATGACGATAGAACAAATGTTTCAATATCTGATTAGGAGGAAGTACGAATGGCAATCGGCCGCTTGAAAAACAGCAAAGCAGTGGCATTCGTGACGAAAGAGCAATTCCAATGCAACTGTACATGCATCAGCTTCTTTGCAAAATATGATCGGATGAAAGTACTCCCGACGATTAGATCTTAAATATGCTCTGCCTAATCCACAAAAAGGTCTATGCCACAGTCTGCGCCAATTACCCTGAGATAAGCCTCCGCAATATCGCATTTAATGTCCATTTCTGTCCTCGTTAATCTACCATTAACCAAATATTAACCATGCGACAAAGCTTGGAAAATACACGTGAGAAAATAATTGATTACACATCGTCTTCTCGTTGATTTTAAAGCTGCCGACAACAGCACGAAAAGGAGTCACCTCTACGCCGATATGTCTGATATTTGTATCCCCGCAAAATTTATACGCCTGTATAAGCATACGTTAAGAAATATCAGAAGCGCAGTCAGGACACAGAAGTACCACTCCAAGTCATTCGGTACCAAATGGGGTTTCAGCCAAAATGAATCCTTTTTAAATCCATTGCCAGAGAAACCGGAATAGGGTAGGCTGAATCTTCTACAAAAGTGTACAACAGCGGTTGTACGCCGATGATAATCACAACATTGGCCTGAACAGCCGCGCAGGGAGTTCTGCTTACCTCAGACTGGTTACGGAAGTGAAAAGTATTGATTTAATAGTGTACGAGGGCAAGACGAAGCATCGCCTGTCATCAAACAAATCATAACTTTGAAGTCGTAGATAATTTCGTCTATCTTGGAACTAGTGTAAATACCAACAAAAGGTCGGACTCAAAGTCTAACGCAGAATCACGCCTGACCACGGATGCTACTTTGGACTGAGGCAATTGAAAAGTAAAGTCGTCTCTCGATAAACAAAGACCAAACGCTATAACTCACTCCTTACTCCCATCCTTCTGTATAGTGCGGGGACATGAACGATGGCAACATCTAATAAGTCGGCGTTAGGACTTTTCTAGAGAAAGGGTTTGCGTAAGATTTATGGTCCTCTGCGAGTTGAGAACGGCGAATACCGTAGCCAAAGGAACGATGAGCTATACAAGATATACGGCGCCATTGACATAGTTCAGCGAATCAAGAAACAGCGGCTACGCTGGCTAAATCATGTGGTCCGGATGAATAAGAATACTCCAACTTTAAAAGTGTTTGATGCAGTACCTGCCGGTGGAAGCAGAGGAAGAGGAAGGCCTCTACTCGGTAGATAAAGACCTGGCTGTATTTCGTATATCCAATTGGCGCCAAACAGCGAAAAGCAGGAATGAATGGAGCGCTGTTTTTAACTTGGCTGTATTCGCGTAAGGCGTGACCACGCCAGTAAAGAATGGGTATTGCAGACGGAGAAATGAGAATTTAAATATGTTTTATAGTTTTTTATTTTATTTTTTGGTTTGTCTCTTACAAAATCATTTGAGGAGCACAGGATGTGTCAGCTGGTTAAAAGGTACCACTTAACGTTTTATTTTTTAGTAAATAATTTCTACTCATTATTCCTGCATACGAAAACTTAGTACGGTTAATAAAAACATATTACCAAAGTAAAAACACAAATAAACTAAAAAAAAAAATTCAGGAAAAAATTAAAGAAAAAATAATTGACTAATTTTATTTTTGTTCCGATAGTTCTATGTTTGGTGGGCAACGCTGTTTCTCTATTATCGTTATCTGTTAGTGCTAAGCTAAACTGATGTTGGTAGATATTTAATAAATTAGTAGACTTTCTTTTTTTTACGAGTGGTTTTTTTTCACAATATTAAATAATTGTTGTAAATAGACGATAACAATTTTCCAAAAAAAAAATCTTTTTTTAATTATTCTCCTTATGCATATCTACTAAATCATTTAAATATTTTTATGGCAGCATAATTTTTATTAAATTTTCTTTATTAATTCGCAATGTTAATATGTATGTATGTATTTGTAGGTATATATGTAGCATGTGTATCGATGGGAAGGTGCTAACGCTCAAAAACTCCTACATCATTTGTGCTTCACAAAAAATTAGTATGCCAACGCAACTTCAACCAATTAGTAGTTTTTTTAGGTTATGTGACAACATGTGTGTGCTTTTTTTTCAATTGTGAGCTATGCGAACATTCCTTTAGTTCGTTATGAGTGCGGTGAATGTGTTTGTGCAAACTTATTATTAATACTTAATTGTTTTGTTTATTAACTCCTACTACTTTATGATAATCGAATTAGTTTGGTTCTTAAACAAAGTTATGAGTACTATTTTTATATACATATATGTATATATATTTTTTCTAAATGCAATAGTTAACCTCATGTTCTATACTTAGGCGTTATATTATGTTTGTAATGAACTGCTTCAAAAAAAAAAGCAATGGCCGCACTGGAATGTCGTAAGCAAGCCACTAATGTAATACAGGGTGCATGGTTGGTATATGTATGTTGCAACGAATGTGTGTCAAAAAATGTCAGTACAATTGAAATGAGACGCAGTTTTGGTGGCTTAGAGCTTACTGTGTTCAAAAAACCAAATTTTTTCAAAATTCATATTTTAAAAATGCATTTTTTGAAAAATAATTTTTTGAAATTTTTTTTTTAAACTAATAATTTTGAAAATTTATTTTTTGAAAATATCTTTTTTTGGAAACTCATTTTCTTGAACATACATTTTATTAAAAATCCATTTTTTGAAAATTAATTTTTTGGAAATATATTTTTTTTAAAATCCATTTTTTGAAAATTAATTTTTTGAAAATTAATTTTTTGAAAACACATTTTTGAAAATTCATTTTATGAAAATTCATTTTATGAAAACAATTTTTTTTAAATTCTTGTTTTGAACGTTAACTTTTTGAAAAATTAATTGGAAATTCATTTTTTGAAACTTCAGTTGAAATTTCAGAGCTCATTTTTTGAAAATTTTTACTTGAAAATGGGAATTTTTAAAATTTCACTTTTTTAAAATCCATTTTATGAAAAATAAATTTTTGAAATTTTATTTTTTGAAAATTTATTTTTTGTTAATTCATTTTTTTAAAAAGTCATATTTTGAAATTGAATTTTTCGCAAAATTGATACTTTGTAAATGCAAAACCTCATTTATTGAAAATTAATTTTTTGAGAATTCACTTTTTTGATCGATCATTTTTGAAAATTCATATTTTGGAAATTCACTTTTCGAAAATTCATATTTTGAAAATGTATGTTTTGAAAATTCATTTCTCTAAACTTCATTCTTTGAAAGTCCATTTTTTAAAATAAATTTTTGAGAATTTATTTTTGAAAATACGAATCTTTTAAATTTTTTTTGAAACCTCAATTTCTTAAAATTGCTTTTTTTGAAAGCTCATATTTTTGAAAAATAATTGTTTTGAAATAATTTTTTGAAAATGAATTTTTTGAAAAAGGCTTTTTTGAAAATTCATATTTTGAAAAAGTATTTTTTGAAAATTCATTTAATGGAAATTACTTTTTTTGAGAATTCATCTTTTTGTTTTGAAAATAAATTTTTTACATTTTTTTGAAAATGCATTGTTTGAAAAAGCATTTTTTGAAGATGAATTTTATGTCGATTCACTTTATAAAAATGCTTTTTTTGAAAAGGTATTTTTTGAAAATTCATATTTTGAACCTGTGTTTTTGATAACTAATTTTTTGAAAATTCATTATTTGAAAATTCATATTTTGAAAATGCATTTTTTGAAAATTCATTTTATGAAAATTCATTTTTTGAAAAATCATTTTATGAAAAATCAAGTTTTAGAAAATTCATAATCTCGGCAATATCCAAACTGCGTGGTCACTTCATTTGCTAAGTGCTTTCATGTTCAATTTTTACCAAAACCCACATAACTAAAAAATTACTCAAAACTAATTTTTTTTTAATTTTCAATTAAATAACTAAAGTAGGTGAAACTTAAAGCAAAGGAAAAAGTATTAATTATATACTCTAATGACTACAAGTCCAATTCCAGGAAGAAAAAAATTTATTCAAAATCACTTGTTAATCACATGGTGTTTACCTGTGTCGGTGGTGTCAGTGCAACTGTATGCTCAACATTTTTCAAATAGTCCTTATCGTCAAAAATTTTCCTCTCCCCACCACCGGGCTTGTGCTTTATGTTATCCAAAGAGCCCACTTTGCTTTGTGCCTTAAGTTCTATCTTTTGTGTTTGTATCTGAAATGTAGTAGCACCCGAATTTTGAAAAACAAAATACCCAAAATTTACAAAAATCATTTTAAGACACATAAATGAGATATGGTTGATCATTTTTTGTTTTTCTTTTTTTTTTTTTGATGGGAATAAACTGAGTAGACAATGAAAAAAAATGGAAAAATAGACTAGAAGAAAAGTAGTGAGAAACTACCTGGAACAGCCAAATAGTGCAAGTAAAAGTGCAAATTTCTTGAGCTAAATATGGTAACAAAATTCTAGGCTTAGAAGAATTGTGTTGAAAAATTTGAAAAAAGTGTAATTTAAAATACAAAATTTTTGCTCCCTCATTACTTACTCAAACTGTACTACATTTTTTTTTGCTTATTTTGTTGTTGGTGCCCTTAATAATTACAATTGAGTATTTAAAAATTAATAAATAATAACAATAAGCTAAGGACGGACAGTACACAGCAGAGACAGGTTTTTGTTGTATTTTTTTTCTTTTTTTTTTCACACAAACTACTTACATCCTTGGCGGGTGCGGTTTCCTTTAAGATTTGCGGTTTCTTACATTAATTGTTCATTTGTTAAGTTCGTTTGTTTATTATTATTATGCATTTTTTTTTGTATTAAACATAAATATATTAGTTGTTTTTGTTTTTGTTTTTATTATTATTATTTTAGTTTGCCATTGTGTATTCAATCAAAGTTTTGTTTAGTTTCGGAACATAAAATGCGGAAAAAGAGAAGAAACAAATCAAGTACCATACATACAGAGTAAATCGAATACTAAATACATAATAAAATTAATAAATGTCAAAAAGTTTGTAGTAGTTTAATAATAAAATAACAAATATTATATTTAAATATTCATCTAAGTATAAAAGTCTAACCTAACTAAAATACACTAAATGTTTTCAAGGTGACCAGACAATAACTTTTAGCAAACAATACTTTAATGTTGCAGCTACTAAAGACATTTAGCTGTCAAACTGGCTGAAAGACCTCATCGTTTAATTTAGTTCAACGACTTAAATAAAGTTTATTCCCGAATGTAGATATAGAAAAAGAAATTTACTATTTTTAACGACAGACGGCTTTGGTGATCTGATTCTGGACCAGTCTCTTAACGTATCAACTAGAACATCTAAACACTTTGTGAGCTTCACCAAAGTGCGACTGGATTACGCCTTTGAAAATCAAATGTACCAACTTTTTGCCAACAGGGAGAAGGGTATCTAGGAGAAAAGCTTAATGACAGCACCTTCAAAATGGCAAAAAGTTATCGAGCAAAACGTTGCATATTTCTCATAGATCGGATAATTGTAACTGTTGAGGCGGGAATTAAATCACTTTACTTTCACTTGGTTTAAGTATAACTGACTCCACAATCTGTAGAGCGTTTATTTATATAAATTTGTAATGTGAAAATTTACATGCATGCATATGTGTACATAAGTATGTTTACATTAGAAGATTACCCACGAATAGATAATCTTATCTTATGTTTTAATTTTTATTGCTTTACATATTCATG